TGAAAGACATCCGGAAGAGGCATGACACGTGGAACTAGAACACTCTTAACATGCGCCATCGATAAGATTTCACAAGTATTGATATTGGGTATTGTATTAACTATTTTTTTTAATTATTTCACGCCAAGCAAGTAGATAATGCCACTCAGACGCAAGAGGTTAATGGGAATGAAAAAGAATGAGATGTATTTAGGAGAAAGAACCGGAAACCAATTCTTAAACAGGAAACAAAGAAAAACATCTACTATTCAAAAAACGAGGAAGGAGTGCGAACCGGGTGCTAGGCGAACCTAGGTACTCTTATTCTTGCAGTGATCTGTGAAATGATGGTAACTATATGTGTATAAAACTGTGACAAGCCATTGTTATTATTTCATTACTACTGTTTGAGTTGTTCTAGGATTTTAAAGAATGTTGTACAATATTTGGTCTTTCACTGACTCTCTACAGCAAGGAGAGTTTCTTGTCTGCTACCATCTCTTATGGAATTAACAAAAGATGGTTCCGATCTATATGGTACTAGTATTAAGGAAGTATATCTCATGTGGCATACCGGTGAAGAGACTCCAATTAGAAGCGACACTGTTACGTTCACTTCTCAGGCACTAATCAAACAATTTTCCCATCTCCAACCTTTGAATTAAGTAGGAGGGCATACTGGAATCTCTAGGCCATGACTATCAGCCAGTCTATATTAAAATAGTCTGAATTCAATCCGTCTAGTCACATATTTGACGCGAAACACTAGAGAGACAAGCCTTGAATAGAACCTTGATCTGTCCATTAACTGTAGTTGATTTACTTACTATGAACGTCATCTTTCCACTCGATTGTAGAGGGTGTGTCAAAAAGATGGGGTCTTTCAACTCCTTAATCGATAAAAAAATATCCAGTCATACACATGGTGTTCCATGAAAGGAACCGTCATTATCATTTTGGATAGATAGCAATTATATTGTGCATCAGTTGGTGGACTAAAACGACATTTTAAAGTTCACCAAAATATTTATAATAAACAGTATTAACGACATTTACCGGCCTGAATGTCCGAGAAATGTCCCATACGGAACCGTCATATATCGGTTAAAGGCGCGTCAGGCTATATGATACAGGTTCGATTCCTGTCGGAGGACGCATATTTTCTATGAAAATTTCTCGGACATTCAGTCCGGTAAATGTCGTTAATACTGTTTATCATAAACAGAGCATTTACTTAAATATTTGTGTCTTTAAAAAGAACGTATAAACATAAAAATGTCTTAAAATAATTGTCGGACTTAGTTCGTTAAAATATATATATATTTATATAATGTGTGACGTATATATATATATATATATATATATATATATAAGGTGCATCATTTATTTTCAACATGATCTCCTTACTTGTCAATGCACTTAGATCAGAGGTGATTATTATTCTCAAGCCTTGGGCATTATACAGTGAATACCTTATATAAAAACTCAGTTTATAATTTTCAGTAGGGCTTTAGTAGACTAGTATCATAGATATAAGCAGGAAAGCAGTGAAAAACCCTTCTCCCCGAACAATTCCCCAGATTAAACAGCTATTATAATCTTTGAGATTAAGTAGCTTTTTTTTAATTCTCCTGAGAAAATTAAACTCATTTATATGCCTTTTTTTATTTTACCAACGAACATCTTTTTCTCTTATGTTTTCTGTTTATTCCCAGAAAATATTGTCGAAAGGAAATAACTGATTGCTTCGAGCGGCGTCCGATTGGAATCATTAAGAAATCAATAAGTGAAAAACGAAAATCAAAGGTCGGTAATTATTAAGCGATACATCGATCTGACATCGATTCATTGACATTCAATTTAGGGGATAAATAAGAATTATCTTGCAAATGAGACCTCAGGGACATTTTTGAAAATTCGTTTCACCATTCGTTCCACCGAAAGACGGAAAAACGATTTCCTAAACTTTTTCACGAATAAACTTACACACACACACACACACACACACACACACACACGCGAGCGCATTCCCATTACACAGGCGCGCGCACACACGCACATACACACACACACACACACAGGCGCGCGAACACACACGCACGAATACGTACGCACGCACACATACACGCACACGCACACACACGAACACGCACACACGAATACGTACATACACGCACACACACGCGCACATGCGCACACACACGCACATACACGCACACACACGCGCACATGCGCGCACACACACACACGCACACGCACACACTTACGCCCGCACACACACGCACGCACACGCACACACAAACACGCTCGCACACACATACACACAAACATGCGCGCGCACACATACACACACGCACATACACGCGCACGCAAACACGCACGCACACACATACACACACGCATATACACACGCACCCACACGCATACACATATGCATATACATATGATGTACTCCCCTGGATTTAGTAACATTGGCACCTCTGACCAAAAATACTTTTAAAAAATAGTTAATTCAGGTTTCATAAACTTTTTAGCATTTAGAATAAGAATTGAAGGAATAGATTTTGATATAAAAGGATTTTTCCCATTTAAAGTAGCCAGGGTAATTGTGTTGGAAATTATATTTAGTCGTCAAATGATTTTTCTATGAAAAAGCTATAAAATTCGAATTTAAATGCGTCATCCACGCGTATTTGAAAAATCTATCACAGTTCAACTACTTATTCAAATTTAATAAAATTGCCTTGTCTTTAATGTATCAGTGATTGAATTTATTCATGAAGAGTTTTCATTTAGACAACAAAAAAAAAAAAAAAAGAGCATTCAATGCAAATAACGCCCCCTCATCGAATCTCAGTAAAATGCCATTTTATACACAATAACTTTAAAATGTTTTAAAAGAGAAATCCCTGGGGCATAAAAGTCAATTTAATCATTTTTCTGAAAAGATTCTCACTGGAGTCAAAATTATGGCTAAACAGGAAAATTGAAAATAACAAAATTGAATATAATAATAATTTTGCTTTGACTAGTTTTATTTATGAAATTATATTGCAGGTTTTTGAGATTTAAAAAAAAAGAACAATATGCTAACCTTCATTTATAAAGACGTTCAATAATTAATAATAATAATAATAATAATAAAATCATTGAAAGTTTTGTTTTATTTGTTATATACATGACTGCGCTTGTTATTAAATAAAAAATGATCATCCGATGTAATATTTATAGGATTTTATTGTAAATATTGTAAATAAGACATGAAGCTATCGGGGTTAGAGTGTTACGAAATAACCAGATCATTTCAGCTTGGCTATTTTTAGTATGAATAACAAAATAATTTGAATAAATTTCTGGCCTCTGGAAATAACAGACACGCGTCTATAGCCAGGAATTTTTTTTATATTTCTTCCTCAGCCACACGTAAAAATGTTCTTACTTTTTATATATTCAAAGTGCAAATAAGAATAATTGTAACCCTTTTCGTTGTTGTGAAACATGACTTTCAGTATTCATGCATCTCTGTGTAATTTGGAGAGCTGCCATTCTAATCTTATTACCCAATCCGGTTTGTTTTCCTGTTGATGTATATGTATGTGTTTCTAACGGTGAGTAGTAGTTTAATTTTTCTGTCATCGATTTCTGTAATATTTAATAATTATCTGTTCCATTATTTATACGCAGATTATTGTCCTCATTTTTTGTGGTAACCACAAAGTTTGTGTCTTCCGACCGTCATCAGATCGTTGTCGATCTTGGTAGCCTTAAGTGAATTTAAAAATGAATCCTTTATTTAATCTACGGTTCAGTTACGCAATGTATGTCTAGGGATAATCTCGTCTAGTTCTTATTTTTAAAACTAATCAGTTAATCCCCGCTCCGTTCCCACTACCTGGCTCAACGATTGAACACATTTCTATGTCATCAAAAATCTGTCAGGGATTAACACTGGTACGACTTCATGGTGTAACATGGCTGGCCTTAGTTGCGAATGTCTGAACGTTAAAAGATAGAGCATGTCTGAACATTTGCCATGGAAACAGTGATGGTGTAGCGATAGGCTTGCGAAGAGGAAGAGTTCTGTAAAAGCCCAAGTCATATTCAGATATATTACAATGTCATCAGCGTTATAATTTGTGTTACATTTATTGAGTCAGTAGTAGTGACTCACATTGTGAAGTAAAGGACATCAAGTCCCATCACTATTCTAACAATCCCTGCATCATTCTAGCTGTTTTCTGCGATACAAAGAAAGATTGTGGGGTCATCTTTGATAAAGACATATGTTTGCAGTAAGGGGTTTAAATTATGTTTTGTGACATTTCAGTATTTGAAGAGAGCCTATGTCATTTTTCTTGTAACTCTCTCGGAATGGTACAGAGTGAAGCATTAAAACAACAAATTTATATACATATAAATCAATTAAGGTCTCTACAAATAAAATTAATGTATTTTGGTTGATACAAGGTCGTCAAAATGTTCGTTGTAGCCCTTGCAAGAATGAGTTTATGTGTACGTATGTGTGTATGTATAAGCGTTATCGTAAGGCAGTAATGTCTTTGAAGTAATCGCCCAGTCTTAAAATGTTCCGTTCATTTATCAAGTATAAAAGAGATGAGGGAGAAAGGTAGAGATAAAGGTCATTTGGGAATTCACTCCCGGATATGATTCGGGCCTTTCCATTGGACAATGAACAAACTTCGTGTCGGCTCGCGAAAAGGTTCATAAAAGAATTTGTTTCTGAGAATTGAAGATTATTTGAATTTTGTTTTTAAATGTTTCCTAGTTTTCTATTGGCCGAAAAACATTTCGCATCAAGGTGGGAAATTTCACGAGTTTTGTTTTGGATTCGCTTTTGCGTGTGTGTTAAGTAAAGTTTGTAAATTCGAGTCTTTTTAATTTTTAACAAAATCAGTGAGTCAGTGCTTAGTATTTTAAATCTAGATCTTGTTTTGTTCACTACAGTAGGTCCACTTAATTTACATGGGTCGATCTAGTTATTATTATTATTATTATTATTATTAATAGAAAGAGTGAGAGAGAGAGAAAGGGAGAGAGATAAAAACAGAGAGAGAGAAAATAGAAAGAAAAAGTGAGGGAGAAAACGTGAGGGAGAAAAAAGAGTAAGAGAAAGAGAGAGAGAAACAGAACGAGAGAAAAAGAGAGAGAGAAAAGGAAGAGAGAAAAAAGAGAGAGAAAAAGCGACAGAGTGAAAAGAGAGAGAAAGAAAAAGATAGAGAGAGAAAGAGAGAGAGGGGGATCAGGGAAAGAGAGAGAAAGAGAGAGAGTGTGTGTGAGAAAGAAATAGAACAGGCTCGTAGCCTATCTAATAAGCTTGTGTAATGAATGACAGGACAGAGAATGGGAAGTATTAGGTGCAGACAAAACATACTAAGAGCTGCCAAGGATAGGAAGCTGTGAAGGACCACATAGAAAAAGTAGATGCATCATGATAACCAGAATGATAACGATGTTGCCAGGCACATGAATCCCAGCCACGACAGGGTGGCAGGTTTTGATAAATTCACCAAAGAGAAACCTGTAAAAATTAACATCTTCAGTCAATTAAGATTCTTCTTCTTCTTCTTCTTCTTCTTTATCATCATCATCATCATCATCATCATCATCATCATCATCATCATTATTATTATTATTATTATTATTATTATAAGTACCTGCAAAATTTTTATGGTTTTACTATTTTAATAACTCTTAATTTAATGATTGAATAAGAGCCTTGTAGGTTCCATCATTATAAAATACACGTGGATATTTCACTATTAAATCAATAAATATTTGAGCTTAACAACTTTAACAGAATATTACAAAAGCACTCAAAAGTATGAATGCTGATCATTACTTACAGAAATAAGCGGTTACAAATGAAAAGATTAAAAACTGACAAGGTTTTCCTTGTCACAAAAGCAGACGTTAAACCCCTGAGAGTGTTATCGCCTCCTCTATCTTCTTCTTCTTCTTCTTCTTCTTCTTCTTCTTATTATTATTATTATTATTATTATTATTATTATTAATAATAATAATAATAATTTATTTATTTATCTATACTTTCTTCTTTTTAGTAAAACCAAAGAACATACGGAAGAACAAGCAGAATTATTATTTAAAAGGATTCTTTTTTCACCTGCATTTCTTTTGCAATCACATGCCGGGTCAAAAGCAATGGCCTTGGGCAAGCTAAGGTGGAGTTTTTTTCTTTCTTTTTTTTGTTGCTTGAATTTATTTAAATAAAAGACAATTATTAATTTCTAAAAAAAAAATTAAATGGACAAAACTCTTCACAGGATTTCCGATGTCGATCAGAAATATTTTTCGGATTTTCTGGACAGATGGTACTTCAAGGATTTTGATTCGTTCTTGAGTTTTTCGCAGAAATGTTCTTGTTACTTATTATTATTATTATTGTTGTTGTTGTGGTTGTTGTTGTTATTATAGACCAACGGACGTAGGTCTTGGAGTAAAGTTGATTGGAAACAAAAGCAAGTCATTTGGTCTCAATGAAATAACAACGATAAGGATAATTGTCCATAAATCATAGAAGAAATAATACATAAATACGACGTAAATCTTGAAGTTCACGTCTTCAAATTCTAGCGTCAAACAAAAGAAACCTTATCGATTGACAGCTATAAATGATCGGCTGTCGCCACTTGGTTAGCAATTAAAAGAGTGTCGATAAAAAAGAATAAAAGAAATAACAGGTCTTTAAAAGATCAGAAGTCTTCTTGATTCGTGGAATGATAACGTCCATAGCTCTGTCCCTTTGTTCAGTTACAGGGAATGGTATTAGTGCTGGGATTGGTCTCGATGTAGCAAGGTCGTTCGGTGCGCGAAATTCAGAAACCACAATGCCTGACAACAACGTTCCAGGCAATCTTATGACATAGAGTATTTTTTTATGCTAAAGGGTTTTCGTTGTTTTTGGTTGAAAGGCAAATTAAAAAGTAATTAAATATGACAATGACTCTTAATTTATTCCGATTTTCACTGCTGAAAATGTTATGTGTTCATCAAAGTTAAAAGAGCAGCAAGTAACTCTGAGGCTGTTATGAAGAACAAAACCATAGGACTAACGCCGAGAAAGAGTTGTGGTAGACGTAAGAGATCACGGCTCTCCACGTTTTTCTCTTTTCTGTTACACCCAGCAGTCCTTTTGAATTTATAACTTTTGTTTCACTTTGTCAGACTTTCTTTCTTCACCAATTGGCTCAAACGTACGAAGTAATGTTACTCGTTCTTTTTCTCCGTTTTTTGTTGTGCATTTCAATGAGTCCTGTACGTGTTAGAATTTCCAAACTTTCTTTCCTCATGATGTGTCCGATTATTTCAGCTGTTTCTCTCTAACAGTAATCTGTATCTTCACTGACGTTCCCAGTTTTTTTAGAACTTTATTAGTCACGTGATATGCTTCTAACACTGTCAACCTTCTATAGTCAAAACACATCGTGCTTGCTTCAAATCTTCTCGTTAATTTTAGGCCAATTTGTCCAACTTTTACTGCTTACATCGGAGAGTTGACATTACATCTGTGTCAGTCACTTTTTCTTCGTTTCTTAATACTAAACATAGTTTCAGAAAAGCATCTTTCCCTATTTGTGCTTACAGTTTTCCGTGTCACATAGAAAAGAAGTTGGATAGATGTTAACCTTTGAATATGAACATAACGAGAATATATATATTCCTGAGAAAAAACTACTAAGACATATCAGTATATTAATTGAACTAAAAATTCTCACTTGAAATGTTGAACTTTAGCGTTGCGACTCGCACGTTCCGAGATTGTACAACCGTCAATAAGTAGCACACTCTTAAAAAAAACATCTTTCGGTCTACAAACAATTATTTCGTCTTCAAGTTTTAACTTTAAATGAAAAAAAATTACAGCCTGACGATGAAGATGAATAATTCTACGAAAGTACTTGCTTAACTTAAAAAAATATACACTAGAAACATCTGACAACAGTTTTATAAATGAGGATCACATGGATTAACAGTATTTTAATGCATACATTATGTTTCTACTAGCGAAGTGATTTCGCTATTAATCGCATTAATATTGCTGATTGATTTTATGTATGATTATTTCTTTTTATATATATATATATATATATATATATATATATCAAGTGTAGGATTTGTATACGGAATAAATTCAATAACCAACAAATACTGTTCTTAAAAGAGTGCTCATTACAGAGTAGAGCAAATATAATTATTTATTAAAAATTATAACATATATATATTATAAAATCAATACAAAAAGTGAACTTTTTGTTTCAACACTTCTGGTGTCTTATCAAGTGATGGCCCGGTGGCTAGGATCAAAGTGTAGTATCTGCGCTTTGTGAGCTGCCGGGTCGGGTGTCTGTCGAACTCTCTGCTTGCAGAGAGGAACCCGGACGAAGCTCCGCCGAAGGGTAGGGTTTCGTTGGGGGAGGTTGATGGAACTGGCCCGCCTCGGCGGGTTTGGATGGTTATTTATTTTTGGCTGGGCCTACGGGCTCAGAGATACCCACATTAAAAAGGCCTTGTGCCACATTCGGTCCCCGTGAGTGGATTGATAAATACCATCAAGTGATGGTGTTGAATTCAACACCATCAACTTGGTAAGACACCAGAAGTGTTGAAACAAAATGGCTACTTTTGTAGTGATATTATAACATATTTATGCTATAATTTTTTAATAAATAATTATATATATATATATATATATATATATATATATATATAGATATATATTGACCCTTGACTTGAAGAAATCAAGATTAAAGGATTTCGCGAAGCACTCACGCGGGATTCTCTTTTGCACAGTTGCAATTTGTTTGGTGAGGATGGTATCGGCAGAGGGAAACATAGAGGAAATTCGAGTGGTTCGGCTCTGTGGGAGTGGCATAGCGTGTCCCAGCTGTAAAGATTCGTCCTGGGTATGACGATAAACTACATCCGCGTCCAGGGTAAGACGATAAACTACATCCAGCAGCAAGGCCTCTGATCAGGAGGTTTTAAGGAGCGTGGAACCACCTATTAATTGCTGGTGTTCCCAGATCAAAAAACAAAAAAACACCAGCAATACATTTTTTAAAATAATATTACTAGCTATACATTTTTGACAAAAAAATATTACCAGGAAAAAAGTTGTCGACATTAAATAACCCATTGAGGTTGATAATCCGTAAAACAAAACAAAACAAAACAAACCAGCTGTAAAGGTCTGAACTGATGGAACTAACGACTGGAACTCAATTGAACATGGCAATAACTTTAGATTAGCGATCGGCTTGCAATACTGAGTCTATGGGAAAGAGATTGCAGAGTGGAAAATAAGTAATCTCCTACGAGCGATAAAAAATCATGAAAATAAAATAAATATTTTTTAGATCAAAAAATAAACTGTATTTTATTCAAAGTATATGTAAGCTGAAACAAAAGCAAGTATCACCGATCCTCTTATGAAGACTAGGAACGAACTGAATGCTAAACTGACTTTGTTTTCATTTTCAATCAAGGATGAATTAAAAGTCGGGGATATCAAAGTCAAACAAGTGCGGACATTTAAATGTCTGGGAAGTATTTTAACAGAGGACGGAAATTGTGGCACTGAAATTCGAAGACGTATTGGTATAGCCAAAGATGCCTGCCAAAAGCAAAGCCGAGTATGAAGAAATAGAAAAACATAGTACTAAACTTCTACGTGAAATCTGTCCTCCTCTATGGCAGTGACTGCTGGAAAATCTCAAAGATGAATAGCAGACTTAAAGTGACATAAATGTGGTGCTACAGAAGGATGCTGAGGATACCATGGACCGAACATGTGAATAATGAAGACGTTTTAGAGAAGCAAAAAGGAAACTTACGCATAACTGCAGGAAGAGACATTTGAGGTTTCTAGGTCACATAATGAGGATAGGGGGCTTGGAAAACCTGATACTCACTGGACAGATTAAAGGCAAGATGGGCAGAGGAAAACAACGCATAACACACTTAGTGATATTCAGTAAGTGGATGGTGGAACAGGGCTTAGGAGAAATAACAGAAAGACAAAGTTTATTAAGAACTACAAAGAAAAGGAAGTTATGGAGAGCCATAATCGCCTAAATCCTGAAGGGACACGGCACATAAATGAGTCTAGTGTGAACAAAAATACAAATCAAACTTTTGGAACCAATACATCAAGAACGAACAATAGCTGATATCGCAGAGTCAAAATATCATAGTAATCAACATATATCCAATTTCTGCCAATGACCAGAGTGTACTTAGTCGAAACTTTATATCTATAACAACAGCATCAGCAACAACTATATCAAC